GGCGCCAAACGAGATGTTTTTGTCTCAAGAGATCTTTAAGAAATCAGCTCTTGGCATCCTCTATCACCTTCACATATCCATGCATTTTATCTGGTATCTACATGCTTAGGTAGAAATTTTCATCTGTTTCAGCCAGTCTTGTAAAATACACATGCCAGTGGCTGGCACTTCAAGTCTATGTGAGTTGTGTGAGTGTACCTGTGTTGAACCTGGTTCTATGAGTCAAAGTGCATAATTTGATATCAAATCACTTTCCTTCTAATAGACTCTTTTCATTTCTTCAAGAACATATCCCCTGTTCCTCTTAAAGGTCCTAATATTTTTACAGATGTATCTTATAATGGAAAAATGGAATATTAAAGTATTAACAAATTATATGTTAAATCATCTCCTTATAAATCAGTACCAAAAAAAGTGAATTATATGCTATTTTTTTGGTTGCTTAAAAAAAATGGTCTGATGAAAGTGTTAATATTATTAGTAATTCTTCCTATGCAGTATTTAAAAATTGCAATTGTTAAACTGTAGCATTTCAAGGCGGTAAACACACATGAAATAACTTAGTATATCTAGACTACTAAACAAAATATCATCGTAAGAATAAAGTTAAAAGTTTTAGAATGGTATAAAATTCAAAAGGAAAAGTAAAATAACTGGTAATAAGTTTTGTATATTTTGTTGTTGTTGTTGTTTTAAAACAAAAAATAAAAAGTAGTTTTGCTTTAAAGTAAAATGTCTGGTTGTGCCAGAATATAAAAAATAATAAAAGCTAAATTGAAGGTGTGTAATAAGTTGTAGAAGGCTTAAAGAAAAGTAAATTTTAATATATGTGTTTAGGAACAAAAATAGAAAAGAATTGTGTTAAACCACAAAAAATTCAAATTCATGTTAATAATCTAAAAACACTAAATAATTTCCAAAAATTACTAGGAGATATTAATTGAATTAGGCCATATTAAAAACTAACTACACAAAACCTTAAACCTAGGGAGCTCTGGTGGCCTAGTGGCAAGGAACTGCAACTACAATCCCAGAGGTGCACGGTTCGAATCCATCAGATGCTCTGCTGGGGAAGGAGGGACAATCTCCTCCTGTACCAGTCAGATCTGATTTGACGGTACACTCACACAAAAATAATAAAATAAAAATTTTTTTAAAACCATAAACCTTTGTTTGATATTTTAATTGGAAATAATAATCCTAATTATAAAAGAAAATTAACTAAAGAAGCTCACAAAGTTTTGAAAAAAGTTCAGGAGTCTATCTCTTCCTGTTCTCTATCTTGTGTAAATTATAGTAAAATGTTATTGCTGTATATTTTAAATAATAAAAGGACTCCTACTGCTGTATTGTGACAAAACGCTCCTTTAAAATAAATTCATTTATCCCGTTCACCTAAAAAGGCTTTGTGGACTTATCAACAGGCTGTATCTTAATAGCACAGTCAAGAAAGAAGTCATTACAATATTTTAATATAAAATCTTATATAATCATTATCCCTTATAATACTCTACAAGTTAATTGGCTATTTCTATACTGTTCAAAACAAATAATTGCATTAGCCAATTATCCTGGTCAAATTATTCATCATTATCCAAAAGATAAATTATTATATTTTACAAATAAAAATTCAAAGTTTTTGTCAGTCAACCAATTTCTGATGCTCTTGTAATATTTATTAATGGCTCTTCAAAAAAAAAAAGGCTGGGTTTAAACCCATTAAAGATTTTAAATTAGTTGCTTTATACTGCTCACTAAATGCTATTCCATAAAGGCCTGCCTGGCATGTCTTGAGATAAGTTCAGCTCAGAATCTCTACCCAGTCTCAAAGAAACTGCTTCTTTCTATAGCTCAGTGTCTGTAATTCAAGGTCTTAGGGAGTGTTCCTCATTTCTGCAGCATACTGATATCTTGAGGCTGAGTTTCCACAGTAACCCAGCCTACGTAATATACCTAGGCAAATTCCTATAAAAGCCAGAAAAAACTTTAATAAAGTGGGACTTGATCAGGAATCTGTCTTGTCCCCATTCTTTGTGCCACTTGTCCCTTTTCAGCCCCACTCTCCCTCCTTTAGGGTCTGCGTTGACTTCCCCGCTGGCCGGGGCAAGTTGTCATGACTTGCAAATCAGAGGTCAGCATGATAGCAGAGCCAGAGAAGCGACAGGGAGGCCGCAAGATACAGGAGATTTAAAACACGGCTAGCTGCTGCAGTAAAGAAGACTTGATTTAGGCAAATATTCCCATACATGAGGGAAACAACAACAAAAACACCTTGAGGATTGCATTTATGACCTAATCATGTACTGAAGTATTTTAGTTTCTGTTCTGTGGAAACTGTAAGTTGTTGTTGTTGTTATGTGTCGTTGAGTCGCTTGTGACTCATAGCAACCCTATGTACAACAGCCCTAAACCCTGCTCTATCC